AAAGTGATTTCTGTAAAAGCAAATATCTCCCTTTGCTCTGAACTTTGATATGAGGAAAATAATCAACATTCAAGCAGGAAAACCTGTTCTAGTAGAGCCTGAAACTACATCAAGACTTTGTAAAAAGCTTAATAGGAGCTCTTTAAATGTGAAATTTTGGCTCTTTATTGCCTAGTTTTGCTCACAATAAATTTGAATTGCACTTTTTCCTCAAAACATAATTTAAACAGTAATATTTGATTGGCTATGTAATATTGTAAATGTACAGTCTCATGACCAGATCTGACAAATGTTATAAAGTAGGTTCAACATCAGTTAATTTTCACATTTTTTCACACATTTAGATTTTTTGGAAAGGCTAAAGACAAGACATGACATTCAAGCAGGAAAACATGTTCTAGTAGAGCCCAAAAACAACATCAAGACTTTGAAAAAGAGCAGAATATGGCCTCTTTAAATATTTAGCCGTTTGAAATGGTAATGCATTGCAGTAAAACACAGATCATATAATGTCCGGCCTCTGTTTGTGTTCCTGGCAGAAATGTGAGCTGGAGCAGCTGTTGTCTTTGCTGAAGACGAACGAGTCTCTGAGCGAGGAGCAGCTCTCTGGACTCTGTGTCCTCATGTCGGACTTCAGGTCGTCGTTAGCCAGTGTCCAGCCGTCCGCGAAGCGCGAGGGTTTCGCCACCGTGCCGGACGTGACCTGGGAAGACGTGGGCGCCCTGCACGACATCCGCGAGGAGCTCAACATGGCCATCATGGTACTGATGATTATTGATAATACTTCAAGCATTGCATCAGTTCATGTTCTTAGTTCAGCCTTAAAGGAGTAGTTCACCCAAAAATGAAAATTAGCCCATGATTTACTCACCCTCGAGCCATCCTAGGTGTGTATGACATTCTTCTTTCACACGAACACAATCAGAGTTAGATTAAAAAATATCCTGGCTCTTCCAAGCTTTATAATGGCAGTGAATGGCCATTTCTGTTTTGAAGTCCATAAAAGTGCATCTATCCATCATAAAAGTGCATCTGTCCATCATAAAAGTGCATCTATCCATCATAAAAGTGCATCTGTCCATCATAAAAGTGCATCTGTCCATCATAAAAGTGCATCTATCCATCATAAAAGCGCATCTATCCATCATAAAAGCGCATCTGTCCATCATAAAAGTGCATCTATCCATCATAAAAGTGCATCTATCCATCATAAAAGTGCATCTATCCATCATAAAAGTGCATCTATCCATCATAAAAGTGCATCTATCCATCATAAAAGCGCATCTATCCATCATAAAAGTGCATCTGTCCATCATAAAAGTGCATCTATCCATCATAAAAGTGCATCTATCCCTCATAAAAGTGCATCTATCCATCATAAAAGCGCATCTATCCATCATAAAAGTGCATCTATCCATCATAAAAGTGCATCTATCCATCATAAAAGCGCATCTATCCATCATAAAAGTGCATCTGTCCATCATAAAAGTGCATCTATCCATCATAAAAGTGCATCTATCCCTCATAAAAGTGCATCTATCCATCATAAAAGCGCATCTATCCATCATAAAAGTGCATCTATCCATCATAAAAGTGCATCTATCCATCATAAAAGCGCATCTATCCATCATAAAAGTGCATCTGTCCATCATAAAAGTGCATCTATCCATCATTAAAGTGCATCTATCCATCATTAAAGTGCATCTGTCCATCATAAAAGTGCATCTGTCCATCATTAAAGTGCATCTATCCATCATAAAAGTGCATCTATTCATCATAAAAGTGCAACAAAAGTGCAGGATATTTATTAATATAACTCTGATTGTATTCGTCTGAAAGAAGAATGTCATACACACCTAGGATGACTTCAGGGTGAGTTAATCATGGACTAATTTTCATTTCTGGGTGAACTACTCCTTTAATGTGTATGTGGTCTTGTTGAATAACCTCACTGGTTTCTCCTGACTCTGCTACCTAAGAAAGATGAAGCTGATGAGTAAGGCCAGATCTGAGTGTTGTGTTTGTATGTTCCCAGGCTCCCATCAATAACCCGGAGCATTTCCGAGCTCTGGGTCTGAGTGCGCCGGCTGGAGTGCTGCTCGCCGGACCGCCCGGCTGCGGGAAGACCCTCTTAGCCAAAGTCTGTGAACTCTTCTTTCAGTCTGCATTACCTTCGTTTGACCTCATGTCTCATACTCGCCTCCTAACCGAGTCAAGTCAAGCCATAAAAGTGGCCTCTGCCATATTAAGTGGTGTTTGTTGTTTTTAACTACTAGAGCGCTGCGTTAAAGGGGTCATGACACAAATTAAAGTTGCTTGATCTTTTGACATATGAGGTCTTTGTACCATTAAAACATCCTACAAGTTTCATATCTTAAAACGTTGTCTTCATTACAAACAAACCATTTGTTTAATCAAGCTCAGAAACAGCTCGTTTTGATATTATCGGATGTGTGACATCACACTGGCAAATACATTTGCATATGCCCGCCTCCAGAGCAAGACGTCGACCAATAGTTTTACATCATCACACCATAGGCTCCGCCCACTTGGGTTCAGTCGCTAAAGCCTGACATTTCACTTCACGTCAAAATCATATAGAAGCCATTGTAATGACTGACGCTGTCTACACTGATACAGTATACAGATGTGTGTTCAGATTATAATGACTGGCACTGTCTACACTGATACAGTATACAGATGTGTGTTCAGATTATAATGACTGACGCTGATACACTGATACAGTATACAGATGTGTTAGTTTCTGACACACTCCACACGCTCGAGTCCACAACAGGACTAATGGAAGAGAGAATGTCCAGGTTAAACGGTGTGTTTCGTACAGACTTCAGAAGGATCCCAGCGTCGGAAACAAGTGAAGGGTTTGTTTTAATGGCGTCCCGGATCGCATCGGAGAACTGTATGTTTGTTCTGAGTGTCTGACTGCAGATTGTTTAGTAGTCGAGGCACAGTGTAATGAAGAGTTCATAGAGGTGCATCACAAACCATAAGTAAATGATGTCATAATGCCTGTAAATGACACTCGCGAGTGGGCGTGACGCTGTTTCCCATGCAGTAGGGTTGCGGCGGTGAGGAAATTTTCCCACCGGTTAATCGACGTGTGACAACACCGGTAATCCCGGTGTCACCGTGGGGGGCGGGGCGGGGGAGTTAAATAGCTTTTAAATGCGTGCGCGTTATACTTTCACTTTCGAAATACCGTAATTCCTCAAATAAAGGCCGGGGCCTTTATTTACCTGAACTGCAGATGGTAGCCGGCTTTTATTTGAAGCAGGCTTTTATTAGAGGCAGGCCTTTATTTCTAATTCGCGATCCCCGCCCGCCCGCCAGCCAAGTTTCCATGGTGACGCGTCATGCTTGGCACGTGTTCACCACAGCCAAAATAGCGCTGTATGACAGATGTAGCGCTTTTATTTCTAAATATTAACAAACTTGCTTACCATGTCATCAACTATCTTCTATTCTGACTCTCAAATCCGTGTAAGTGAGTTTGTTTTGTCGTTTAAAACCCTTTATAAATGATCTTGATCTGTAACGTGAGATGGGCACCGCAGTTCGGAGATTCCTGTTGTATTTGTTAAGTTACAGCGCGTGAATTCTTCAGTTTCTCCCGAAATACATGAAAGTAAGTGGCCGGTGAACTGGGAGAAGAATAGAGTAAACTTTATAGTTACTTACACTGTGTATCTGATATGAATAAAACACGTCGCCAAATATATTTGAATGGATTGTTATTGCTGCTTCCATAGACACCATTGTGTATTTTACAAACTATAAATTTATTGTTTTGCTATAAATCAAATCTATTTAAATGTCTGAAACCTAAAATAAACATGTGGTTAAAAACACTGAATAGTTGTGATATATGACAAGCGCTGAGCGCGTCCGTCTTTGAGTGTACACTCATTTAAAGTGTACCTATTCACACTATTTTTTCCCCGGCCTTAATTTGAGACCGGCCTTTATTTGTCCGCGTTGACCACGCCCCCGGCCACTATCAGAGGCCCGGCGTTTATTTGAATACCGGTCTTTATTTGAGGAATTACGGTAAGTGTCAATTGGCAATTCAGCGTCAATTGCTTGAATGGACAAAAAAACAACAACTGATAATAAAACTTTTATTTATAGACAGAACTTTTATTAGCATAACGAACGAATAAAAATAACCCCATGCATAGGCTGAAAAAAGTGAAAATCGGCAAACTGGGCCCAAACAAATAAGAACCATAAAACGTTTATTAACGAATAAGAAAATAAAATAGGCCTAAATAAATTACACAAAGTTTAAATAAGATAAAACCAAATAAATAAGACCCCATTTACACCTGGTATTAAAATGCGATCTGTATCCAGATAAGTTATCCAGATAATAAAAACCGCATGTTAATGCAAGGTGTAAATACGTTGTGATCGGATTGTGATCGGATCTGCCTGACCACATCTGGAGGTAGTCTGGCTGCATTGTGTTCGGATCTTTACTAGGTGTAAACGCAATCTGGTTGTTGAAACCACATATGTATATTTTACTCCTCCCAAAAATGCTAAAAAAAAATAAACGTGTGAGAGTGTTATAGGCTATAGGCTATTTCATGTCAGATATGACGACGCTACTGCAACACGCATTACCGCAGATGAGCGTCTATTCATCAAGCCAACGTGCAAACATCGCAAATAAAAGTGAAAGTAAGTCACAGACACAGACGCTTAACACACAATCATCTTCAAGTAAAGAAACAAAATTATCTTACCAGGGCTGTTGCCACTTTTTCTTATTGCTGTCTTTGATTTTGAAATGAGCTGATGATCAATAAAATGCAGCTCACCTCTGTTGCTTTCGGTGGCGTGCAATCCATTAAATCATAGCGCGGGAGTTGAAGTCGGATTTATATCCGTTTTGCAAAAACACTTTATGTGGCCAGGTGTAAATGGAATCGGTAAGATCAGAACACTTATTATCCGGATAACTTATCTGGATACAGATCTCATTTTAATACCAGGTGTAAATGGGGTCTAAGAGACGAATATAAAATCTCCACACGTGCTAAATGGAATTTGACTCCTGATGCTTGCTGATCTGTGACGTGACTGGCTCTTGGCACTGCGCATTTCAGTTTTAAATTATAATGTATGCTCTCTTCTGAACTAAATAATTGATAATTATTATTTTTAATTAATTCAAATAAATATTTTAGCAAAAACGAATACTTTAAAAAAGTCAAGACATCGCGGTGTCACGGTGGGAAAGTGATGTCACCGGTGATGGCGCTTAAAACCGGTAAGACCGTCAACACCGTCTATCGCGGCAAGCCTACCATGCAGTGACATTAGCCAATCATAACTGCGGTTTACTGACAAGCCTCAAAAACAGATCATTTCAGACAGAGGGTCAAAATGAAGGTTGAAAATAATAGTTTTTCTGCATATATATTTTGTGCAAAAAACTTTTATTAACATTATAAGTAAACCTCAAGGAACATATTCAGAAGTGACAACTTTAAGACATATATAAGTTCACATCATCCTGGTTCCTCCAACAAAAACCTCTGTGACAAAAGTTTATGATTTTTACGCATTTTGTTCATCGTAATCTTCATAAATTAAATGGGTTGGTCCTTATTTACTCGCCCTCGTGTCGTTCCAAAGCTGTGCGACTGAAGTTGGTCTGAAATGAAGATCTTTAAATGAAACCTGAGAGACTCACAGACTTCCATCTCTCCTCATCAGTGTCTCGCTCTCGTTGCAGGCGGTCGCTAACGAGTCCGGCTTGAACTTCATCTCCGTCAAGGGTCCAGAGCTGCTGAACATGGTGAGATCCTCAACAATTACTCATGGCATTATATTGTTCATCTGTGTGTAATATTCAAGATGAGAACATGTCCTGATCACTTTTCAGCATTAGATTATATTTAGCATAGAAGTACATTTTAAAATTCAGAAGTAAATAAGTAATTTTGCAGAGTGAGGTGCTTGATTGTCATGAAAATGTCACAATGCAGAAAAAAAACAAAAAACTTAAAGCCTTTATCTATAATGAATACAAAGGTATCCATAATGTATTATATATTTACATAAATAATTGTAACCAAAGTTAAATGGCATTATAATATTCGTAGATTCTTTGTTGCATCTGAAATTGGTTGTTTATCGCGTTTTACTGCATTATCCTTTGTAAAGGAGTATTATAACTGTGGTTACAATTATTTATGAGATCATACAGTGCATTAGAAGATGCATTACAGGCATATTAATGCATTAATGTACGTTTATAATGCATTAAATATAACGGCTTTAGTAAAGTGTTAGCAAAAATATTAATGGTTCTATTGATTTAATTTCTGTATGTTTACATCATGACACAGACATGTTGAGCCATTGTGTGTGTATGTGTGTGTGTGTGTGTGTGTGTGTGTGTGTCTGCAGTACGTGGGAGAGAGCGAGCGAGCGGTTCGTCAGGTCTTCCAGAGAGCCCGTAACTCTGCACCGTGTGTGATCTTCTTTGATGAGATCGATGCGCTGTGTCCTCGTCGCTCAGAGCATGAGGTGAGTGTGAGTGTGTGTGTGTGTGTGAGAGCATGAGGTGAGTGTGTGTGTGTGTGTGTGTGATCTTCTTTGATGAGATCGATGCGCTGTGTCCTCGTCGCTCAGAGCATGAGGTGTGTGTGTGTGTGTGTGTGTGTGTGTGTGTGAGAGCATGAGGTGAGTGCTGAAGTTTCAGTGCATCACTGCATCACACAATGTAATTATCTCTTCTCTAATGGCACGACTCTGTCGGTGGCCTAGTTTCCATTACAGATTTGTGCCAAATTTTGCAATATTTTCTAAATGTCGATGAAAAACGATTGCGAAACGACGGCGTTTCCATTAACTGATGTTATGCGACTAAAACATAATCATCATTTTTTCCTCTCGTGATAATTTCAATTATCATGGCGTGTGTGTGTGTGTGTGTCAGTCAGGAGCCAGTGTTCGTGTGGTGAACCAGTTGCTCACCGAGATGGACGGCATGGAGAACCGCCGGCAGGTTTTCATGATGGCCGCCACCAACAGACCAGGTCATATAGAGGACTGTTTTTGAAAGTTTTGAGATGTTATTAGTCAGCTTTCTATAATCGTACATGACCTCATGTGTGTGTGCAGATATCATTGACCCGGCGGTGCTGAGACCCGGACGGCTGGATAAAACCCTGTATGTGGGTTTGCCGCCCGCCGCGGACAGACACGCCATATTACTCACCGTCACTAAAGTGAGCACTCTTTAACAAACATGCGGCGTATGAGCCACTGTTGTCATGTGATCTGCGTAATCTTCTGATTTATTAACTCTGTCATGTTTTAGGGAGGCACCAAACCACATCTAGATCCAGATGTCAATCTTGAGGAAATTGCCCATGATGCACGTTGTGAGAGTTTTACGTAAGTTTGTAAATTGTTCTTAATGATTCGAGATATCGAGATGCGTTTCCTCGCTGACACGCTGGACATCTCATGTGTTTGTGCGATTTTAATTACGATCTTAACTGTAATGCATTGCGCTTGTGTTGCGAGGCTGCTGCCAATACTCTGCTCTAGTTTCTCTTATAGACAAAATTGTCTATTGTAACAAACTCCAGATTATTATCTTGTTTAGTAGATTTTGGCTCTATTCATTAGGGATGCACCGATATGGAAATTTTGGCCGATATTGATAACCGATAATCCTTTATATTTGGTAGCTGATAACCGATAGTCCTTTATATTTGGTAGCCGATAACCGATTGTCCTTTTATATTTGGTAGCCGATAACCGATAATCCTTTATATTTGGTAGCCGATAACCGATTGTCCTTTTATATTTGGTAGCCGATAACCATTAATCCTTTATATTTGGTAGCCGATAACCAATAATCCTTTATATTTGGTAGCCGATAACCGATAATCCTTTATATTTGGGAGCCGATAACCGATAATCCTTTATATTTGGGAGCCGATAACCGATAATCCTTTATATTTGGTGGCCGATTAGGGAGCCGATAACCGATAATCCTTTACATTTGGTAGCCGATAACTGATAATCCTTTCTGATAATCCTTTATATTTGGTAGCCGATAACTGATAATCCTTTATATTTGGTAGCCGATAACCGATAATCCTTTATATTTGGTAGCCGATAACCATTAATCCTTTATATTTGGTAGCCGATAACCATTAATCCTTTATATTTGGTAGCCGATAACTGATAATCCTTTCTGATAATCCTTTATATTTGGTAGCCGATAACCATTAATCCTTTATATTTGGTAGCCGATAACCATTAATCCTTTATATTTGGTAGCCGATAACCGATAATCCTTTATATTTGGTAGCCGATAACTGATAATCCTTTCTGATAATCCTTTATATTTGGTAGCCGATAACTGATAATCCTTTATATTTGGTAGCCGATAACCATTAATCCTTTATATTTGGTAGTCGATAACCGATAATCCTTTAAATTTAGTAGCCGATAACTGACAATCCTTTATATTTGGTAGCCGATAACCGATAATTCTTTATATTTGGTAGCCGATAACCGATAATCCTTTATATTTGGTAGCCGATAACCATTAATCCTTTATATTTGGTAGTCGATAACCATTAATCCTTTATATTTGGTAGCCGATAACCATTAATCCTTTATATTTGGTAGCCGATAACCATTAATCCTTTATATTTGGTAGCCGATAACCATTAATCCTTTATATTTGGTAGCCGATAACCATTAATCCTTTATATTTGGTAGTCGATAACCGATAATCCTTTTGTCACGGCCGGCTCTAAGCCGCGACAAATGAGGGAGGCAACGAGAACAAAAGCCAGTCAAAGAGATTTTATTCACAATAAAGAATAAGCTACGTAATTAACACAAACACAATAAACACGTTCCAATAACACAGGCCTGTAAACATAACTTCCCAAACTAAAACTAATACATAAAGCAAACAAATAAAACAACAACCCAAACTAACAAAAAACCAGAGGGTAACCGAAGCCACCCCAAGTCAGAGAACCATTACCTTTTATAACCCTCTGCAGGTGTTTCACATTAATGACCTCAGTAGGACGGGCCTAGAGGCACGTCACACACCCCCCCTTAAAAAAAATAAACCCACATACAAACAAAACAAAAACACTTCCAACAGGGTACATCCCAACCTCCTAACTAACATCACAAACTTCCTAAAGCCTATCTAGTCTTCAGTGGCTTGCCGAGCTCGGGGCGACTTTAAACACTGAACTCAGCATCCTCAACAATCCCATAACCAGGACTGCCGAAGAACACTGAAGCGTACCCCCACTCAGGATTACCACCCAAAACAAAAAACAACCCCCCCCCCCCCATAACTAAACTGGGATGTACACACACAAAACAAAAATAAACAAAACAATGTTACTAGACTACAGAACTCCCGAATAACAACGATGTCACAACATCTTCCAGAATCCACTCATCTCCTCCCACCATAATACTCATCGACCTCAGCACCTAAGAGACAAGCTTGAGAGAGAGAAACAGAGAAACAGAAAACATCGTGGCAACACATCATACTCGTGACAGAGCATCCGCAATCACGTTTTCTGTACCCTTGATGTGTCTTATATCAAGATGATACCCTTGTAGAAAGATACACCATCTCATGAGTCGCTGGTTTGGGTTCTGCAAAGAATGAAGGAATGTTAGAGGATTGTGATCTGTAAAAACCACCAATGGCCCTCCCCCTGAACCCACATAAACCTCAAAATGGATAAGTGACCAAATTAGAGCTAATGCTTCTTTCTCAATAACGGAATAGTTAAGTTGATAAGCATTAAACTTTTTAGAGAAGTACCCCACCACACAGTCTACCCCATCTTCTGAGGTCTGCAGTAAAACACCTCCAGCTCCCACATTACTAGCGTCAACTTGCAATTTAAAAGGTTTATCCAGTCTAGGTGCAACCAAAATTGGAGACACAGTGAGAAGAGACTTAACATCCTCAAATGCTCTCTGACACACAGAGGTCCACTCAAATTTGATTTTATCTCGAAGCAGGTTGGTAAGAGGAGCTGCCACAGTAGAAAAATTCTGACAGAATCCCCTATAAAACCCAACCATCCCAAGAAACCTCATTAATTCCTTTTTAGTTGTAGGGGTAGAAAATTGATCAATTGCTGCCACTTTAGCTCGAACAGGACATACATGACCCTGACCTACAACTTTTCCAAGGTAGATTACAGTGGCCTTCGCAAATTCACATTTGCTCAAATTAACAGTGAGGTTAGCCGCAACCAGACGATCTAACAAAGCTCTAATCCGACTTAGATGTTCTAACCAAGTGTCACTATAGACGACTACATCGTCTAAGTAAACTGCACAACCTTCCAAGCCAGAGATAACTCGATTCATTAATCGTTGAAACGTAGCTGGAGCGTTTCTCAGGCCAAAACTCATAACCTTATAGGAAAATAGACCTGACGGAGTAACAAATGCAGAGATCTCTTGGGCTCTAGCTGTTAGAGGAACCTGCCAATAACCCTTTAGCAAATCAAATTTGCTAACATAAGTAGCAGACCCAACTTGGTCAATGCAATCTTCGATTCGTGGCAAAGGGAAGGAATCAGGCTTAGTTAGTGCATTTACCTTCCTGTAGTCTGTACAAAATCTATGAGAGCCGTTGGCTTTTCTAACCAGAATACACGGAGACGCCCAGCTGGAATAAGAAGGCTCCGCTAACCCATTTTTCAACAAGTATTCAACCTCAGCCTCTAGGTGTCGCTTTTTCTCCAACGGAACACGGTAATAGTGCTGATGAACGGGTTTAGCGTCCCCCACATCAATATCATGATCAATTAACTTCGTCTGTGTGGGAGTATCTGAAAACAGAGACACATACTCATTTATTAAAGCTGACACATCAGAATATTGAACATCAGGGAGATGTTTCAACATCACCCCCAAATTTTCAAGGGCTTCTGTGTTTTTAAAACAGCCTTGTGTGACTGATTCACCCGGATCCAGACCCTCATCATCGGAAACAGGCCCCGCAGGAACACCTCTTAAAGATGTTTCCACCCCTGCGTCAACCAAAAGCACAGGCTTCACTTGGGATCCTTCTAGATTTTCAAAAGGCAAAAGAGAATAAGCAGCCTCCTGGGTAGCATCTTCAACAATATCACGCACATAATAAGGTTTCAACAAATTCACATGGCAAACACGTGCCTTTTTCCTCCTATCAGGAGTTTCAATCAAATAGTTCAACTCTGAAACCTGACGTAACACAGTATAAGGGCCTACAAATTTTGCCTGAAAAGGAGAACCCACAACTGGCACCAAAGCAAGCACCTGATCCCCAGACTGAAAAACTCGAACCTCTGCACGACGATCAAATAACCGCTTCATTCTATCTTGTGAATGCCCCAGATTCGCTTTTGCCTGTGCACAAGATTCATACAATCTCCTACGAAAATCACTTACATAGTTCAACAAATTTCTCGGTGGATTAACATCCTTCAAATCCTCAGACAAAAGTGACATTGGACTACGCACCGAATGTCCAAATACAAGCTCATTTGGACTAAACCCTGTGCTTTCCTGTGAAGCTTCCCTAGCGGACATAAGAAGCCAGGGCAACCCGTCCTCCCAATCACCCTTCATGTGCGTGCAATAAGATCTTAAAAGAGACTTCAGTGTCTGATGGAAGCGTTCTAGCGCCCCCTGACTTTGAGCATGGTAAGCGCTAGCCTTCTGATGTTTAACACGCAACTGTTTTAATATTTGAGCAAATATCTTCGAAGTAAAATTCGATCCTTGGTCTGTTTGTATGACTTTAGGAATTCCAAACAGAGCAATGAATTGCGTTAAGGCTTTTAACACGGTCTTTGTAGTAATGGAGCGTAACGAATAGGCCGCTGGAAACCTAGTTGTTTGACACATTATCGTGAGCAAATATTTACTACCTGCTTTAGACTTAGGTAATGGGCCCACACAATCCACAATTAAATATTCAAATGGTTGATTTACCACTGGAACAGGAAAGAGTGGAGCTGGTCTCAGAGTCTGATTTGGTTTTCCAGTCAACTGACAAGTATGGCATGTTTTAACGTATGCAGACACGTCTCGTTTAAGCTTGGGCCAAAAAAAACTTCTCAAAATTAATTGATACGTTTTTTTTACTCCCAGATGTCCTGAAGTATCATGAGCTGTTTTCAAAACAAGATCACGGAGATTTTTTGGAACAACAATCTGAACAATTGGGTCTCCTACAAAATCTTTACCATGGGGTACCCACTTCCTGACTAATATTTCTCCATCCAGATAATACCCTGAAGGTGTATCTTGCAGTACATCTGGAGACAGAAGTCTGTCAAACAAGACAACAAGCGAGGCATCTGCCTGTTGTTCTTTCACCAATTCACTACGTGAGATAGTCAAAACTGTTGGTATTTTTGTCAGCGTCTTACCATCTCTCTCAACATCTGACTGAGTCACAGATAAAGATTTACTCCCAGCACGGGTTACAACAGAAGAAACAAATACTTCTGGAAAACTCTGGGCATTTTCATCTGACACCTCTGAAACCAATAAAGAGGGAGACACTATCAAAGCTGGCGGACCAACGGACCACACTCTACTTCCAGCTAAATTGTTTCCAAGAATAATGTCTACACCCACAACTGGTAAACAGGGACGTACCCCAAGTGTTACCTCTCCCTGCACCAAATCTGAAACCATCATCACTTTATGTAGAGGAACGGATACTACATTTAACCCTATTCCTCTAATCAAAACATTATTTCCAGTATACGATTCACTGGAAAAAGACAGGACATTTTCAGAAATAAACGATTCCGTTGCCCCTGTGTCTCTGAGTATCTTTACTAGTTTATTCTCTTTAGAGCCTACTAGTGAGACATAACCTTCTGTAATAAAAGGTGAAAAACCAGAATTCAAGGTTTCACAATCATTTTCAATAGCTGGTTCGAACGATGATTGAATAGATGTTACCAATCCTACTGATTTTGCTCCCAAAACAGCATTTTGGGGCCTTCTATTCCCTGACAAATATTGAGCTTTTGCTTTTAGCATCGGACATTCATTTTTCCAATGCCCCTTAGCCTGGCAGTAATTGCATGTATCAACTAATTCACATTCCCCAGGTGAACGCAATGATCTACCTCTAAAGATATCAGGATTTTCCTTACTCTTATCATGTACAGACCAGTCAGGTTCTCGTCTAATTTCTCTGAATGCCCTTTGTCCAAACTGATTTTTGTGAATTAGAGCATATTCATCAGCAAGGACCGCAGCATCATACGCCGTATGAGCTTTAGTCTCAGTTACATACGTAGCAACACGAGGTGGCACTGAATTTTTAAACTGTTCTAACAATACTAGCTCTTTCAGATCACTTAAAGTCTTGACATCAGAAGCAGAACACCAGCGATTAAAATGAGTTTGAATTTCTCTCACAAATTCCACATGCGTTTGTCTTTCAGATTTTTGCCAACCTCTAAATCGCTGTCTATATGCCTCTGGTACCAATTCATAAGCTTTTAAAACAGCTGACTTAACATATTCATATTTTTCCGAGTCCTGAATGCTTAACGAAGAAGAAATCTCCTGAGCCCTTCCCGTGAAAACGCATTGCAATAACAAAACACGCTCTGAATCGGACCAACCTCTAGTACCAGCTACTCGCTCAAACAGTGAAAAAAAGGTATCAATTTCCCTTTCATCAAATTTAGGCACAAGTTTCAAGTTTGTGACCACATCAAAATCAAACAAATCATGCTCACTACCCTCAACAGACAATCTTCTGACTTCTCTACAACCTTTTCCAGCATTTATCAAATCCAACTTATAACGCTCAAGCTCCAATCTCTTCGTTTCAATATCATGTCTTGCTTCAATTTTTTGCTGCTCGATCTTTTCCTTAGACTTCATTTCTATCAAAAGTAAATCCTTCTGTTGCTCATAAGTCAAAGACATTCTGCTAGCCTGAACAGTAGACACTGTCTTTTCATCTTCAAGTACATTCTGTTCTACCAAAGCAGATATCAAGATCGATTTTAAACTTTCCTTTAACCGTTTGTCAGCAACAGAAAGCTCAACATTATAATGATTCGCAAGCGCTAACAATTGATCCTTCGAAAACTCATTTAAAAGGTCTTCTGACGGATTACGAATAAATTCATCAATAGTGGAAGTCATTTTACACTTCTGCTACCCCTAACAAATTAACAAACGAAAAAAAAAACTAAGATTACGAACGAACACTGAATATTGTATATTTTCATTCAATCAGTAGCCTAGACTATTCAATTCATAAACTTACCGCATTCGTTTCCTGATAGCCCATTCCAATCAGCACGTAGCGGCAATTATAGTCATTTACACAGTGTTTCCCAAATTCAAACTACAAACAAAATCATATACTTTACATCCTGATCAATTGTTACTCGAAGCCTCCCAAACAAACTAAACAGCGCATGCTGAACACTCGCTCACGCTGAACACTCGCTCACGGAGTCGGAGATAATGACAAACAGGTGTTCTCAATCTCCACGAACGGCTGGACGAGCCCCCATATCTGTCACGGCCGGCTCTAAGCCGCGACAAATGAGGGAGGCAACGAGAACAAAAGCCAGTCAAAGAGATTTTATTCACAATAAAGAATAAGCTACGTAATTAACACAAACACAATAAACACGTTCCAATAACACAGGCCTGTAAACATAACTTCCCAAACTAAAACTAATACATAAAGCAAACAAATAAAACAACAACCCAAACTAACAAAAAACCAGAGGGTAACCGAAGCCACCCCAAGTCAGAGAACCATTACCTTTTATAACCCTCTGCAGGTGTTTCACATTAATGACCTCAGTAGGACGGGCCTAGAGGCACGTCACACTTTATATTTGGTAGCCGATAACCGATAATCCTTTCTATTTGGTAGCCGATAATTGATATATTGGCCGATAAATCTAAATATAAATTGATATAAATTGATTGCCTGATTACAGAAACAAAAGGCAAACAAATACAGTGGACACAACTGCTTTTACTTGAACACATAATTGTAATTAGTCCATACTTTATTGGCTTTAATATAGTACTTTAATAATAATAATAATACAATTATTCAAACTTTAAGGAAACAGTTTTTTGTTTTCCTTTTGAAAAAAAGCAAAAGGTTTTGTTTTCCTTTGTAAAGCTGTGTTGTGCAACACTGTTTACCAAAAAATAAAAGGAAATGTTAAACTAATTTATTTGATTTACATTTTAAAAGATTTAATAAATTGTTCATGTTTTATGCCTTAATTTGATCACCACTGTTTTTGATATTAAAGAAAATAAAGAAAACATTTCATGTGGCTCTGTTTAAAAAAAAAAAAGTTAATGAATTAATCTGCTTAGAGTTTAATTTAACCATTAAAATGGAATCCAGAAAAATATAAACGGAAAACACGGAATTTGGGAAAAATAAAATGGAATTTGATGAAAGAAAATAAAAAAGGCCCTAAAAATATATATATATTTGTCATAATTTTAAGAACAATTTATTAAGTGTTTAAGTTTCATGATTAATTAGACATGCTTTTTTGATAACTAACATTTAAGCATTAAATCAGAGTCCAGATAAAAAAAAAAAAAATCCAGAAAAATGTGAATGAGGGGAAACTGAATTTAGGGAAAAATACATTTTCGTATCGAACCGAAATCATGAAAAATGAAGAGCTATCCGCCGATACGGATATGGCCAGTGCATTGTGCATCTCTGCTCTCCGTAGCGTGACGTCTGCTGGTGTGTGTGTGTGTGTGTGTTCTAGAGGTGCAGATCTGTCGGCGCTGGTGCGAGAGGCGAGTGTTAACGCTCTGAGAGTTCACCTGAACACTGGACCAGCTCAAACACACACAGGTAACACACACACCTGAACACTGGACCAGCTCAAACACACACACCTGAACACTGGACCAGCTCTAACACACACACCTGAACACAGGACCAGCTCAAACACACACAGGTAATACACACACCTGAACACTGGACCAGCTCAAACACACACAGGTAACACACACACCTGAACACAGGACCAGCTCAAACACACACACCTGAACACTGGACCAGCTCTAACACACACACCTGAACACAGGACCAGCTCAAACACACACAGGTAATACACACACCTGAACACTGGACCAGCTCAAACACACACAGGTAACACACACACTTGAACACAGGACCCGCTCAAACATACACAGGTAACACACACACCTGAACACAGGACCAGCTCAAACACACACACCTGAACACAGGACCAGCTCAAACACACACAGGTAACACACACACACACACCTGAACACTGGACCAGCTCAAACACACACAGGTAACACACACACACACCTGAACACTGGACCAGCTCAAACACACACAGGTAACACACACACACCTGAACACTGGACCAGCTCAAACACACACAGGTAACACACACACACACACCTGAACACTGGACCAGCTCAAACACACACACCTGAACACAGGACCAGCTCAAACACACACAGGTAACACACACACACACACCTGAACACTGGACCAGCTCAAACACACACAGGTAACACACACACACACCTGAACACTGGACCAGCTCAAACACACACAGGTAACACACACACACCTGAACACTGGACCAGCTCAAACACACACAGGTAACACACACACACACACCTGAACACTGGACCAGCTCAAACACACACAGGTAACACACACACACACCTGAACACTGGACCAGCTCAAACACACACAGGTAACACACACACACCTGAACACTGGACCAGCTCAAACACACACAGGTAATACACACACACCTGAATACTGGACCAGCTCAAACACACGCAGGTAACACACACACACACCTGAACACAGGACCAGCTCAAACACACACAGGTAATACACACACACACCTGAACACTGGACCAGCTCAAACACACACAGGTAACACACACACCTGAACACTGGACCAGCTCAAACACACACAGGTAACACACACACACACCTGAACACTGGACCAGCTCAAACACACACAGGTAATACACACACACCTGAACACTGGACCAGCTCAAACACACACAGGTAACACACACACACCTGAACACTGGACCAGCTCAAACACACACAGGTAACACACACACACACACACCTGAACACTGGACCAGCTCAAACACACACAGGTAATACACACACACCTGAACACTGGACCAGCTCAAACACACACACACACACCTGAACACTGGACCAGTTCAAACACACACAGATAACACACACACACCTGATCACTGGACCAGCTCAAACACACACACACACACACCTGATCACTAGACCAGCTCAAACACACACAGGTAACACACACACACCTGAACACTGGACCAGCTCAAACGCACACAGGTAACACACACACCTGAACACAGGACCAGCTCAAACACACACAGGTAACACACACACACACACACAACTGAACACAGGACCAGCTCAAACACACACAGGTAACACACACACACTTCTTCTTCTTATGCAGTCCATTGGTTTCGAAGATGACATCACTTCTAGGATGCGTTGGTGTAATGTTGAGGCAGCCGCTGCTGAATTGAAGGTGGCTGTGAAGCCCAGTCCGGGAGCCACATGTCCTGCTGCGGGGCATGTGAATGCTGGGGATGGGGATGGATGTAGTTGTGGTAGTGCGCGTTGGTGTCTGCGCTGATGTAGCACAGTTCTGTGTTGGGCGTGCTGTGATTCGATCTGTTGGGCCCCCAGATCGCATGCAGAACTCCATGCCTGACGGTTGGCAGCTGTTGTTCCAGGACTCCAGGGTTGATGCCACAGCTTTTCAGGGTCCCCTTGAGGTGGTCCTTGTAGCGACACTTCTGACCCCCAGGTCTCCTGTTGGCTGCGTGTATCTGCCCATAGAGGACCTGCCGGGGTAGGTGGTGGGAGGGCATGCGGAAAACATGTCCAACCCATCGCAGTTGCCGCCTAACAAGGATTGCCTCCATGCTGCTGGAGTTGGTGCGCTGTAGGATGTCCGTGTTGGGGGTTTTGTCTTTCCATGTGACTCCTAGTATGCGCTGGAGGCATCTGATGTGAAAGCCCTCGAGACACCAAATATGCCTGCGGTAGGGAGTCCATGCTTCTGCACCAAACAGCAGAGTGGAAACGCACACTGCCTGGTTGACAGCCGCTTTGGTGAAGGTACGGAGATCTTTATTAACAAAGACTCAAGAACGAAGCCTACCAAAGGCAGAGGAGGTGAGATTTATGCGTGCCTGGATCTCGTTGTCTGAGGCAGGTTGGTGTAAGGATGCTTCCAAGGTAGCAGAAGTGCTGAACAAGCTTTACTGGTGTGCCATGGATGTAGAATTCAGGGGGTGTGGGGGTGGGGACCGTGGTCTGTGTAATGATCTCTGTCTTTTGGATGTTGACTTGTAGGCCACAAGCTTGATAGACTGCGCATACAACATCCAATGTGTGATGCATTGCGGTAGGGCTGTGGGCGAGGAGGGCACAGTCATCAGCGTATTGCAGTTCATGAATTGTGATGGTGGTGGTCTTGGTGATGGCTTGCAGGCGGCGGAGGTTAAAGGTTCCTACACCAACTACACGTTGGTGTAGTTCCCGTCCAGACGAAACTGTAGGCAGACACCCTCGTCGGGGCTGAGGGAGTTGCGGGAGAGGAGGGTGACTGCTGCCAGGAAGAGGTTGAAGATCACAGGAGCCAGTACACACCCCTGTTTCACTCCGACCTGCACAGGAAAGGAGGGGGATTGAGATGTGCCCACAATCACACGAGCCTGTAGGATGTACAGAAATCTTGGTGGCACCCCAAACTTCTCCAGAATGACCCAAAGGACTTGACGGTCAATGGTGTCAAAAGCCTTTGCCAGGTCAATGAAGGCAATGAACAGGTCTTTGTTCTGTTCTCTGGCCTTCTCCTGCAATTAGCGCAGGACAAAGGTTATCATGTTGGAGGTGGACCGATCCTTCCTGAAGCCGCACTGTGACTCAGGAAGGATCCTTTCTGTGATGTTCTTGGTAAGATGGACCATTTGGACCATCTTGTGGATGGTAACAATGTGTGAGTCTTTCCAGCCTTGTGGAACAGTTTTTTGTGCCCATATTATCTGAGTTGGTGGAGGTTTTTGGTGAGCAGGTACCCGCCTTTCTGTAGAGCCTCTGCAGGGCTTCCATCAGGACCAGCAGACTTATTGTCCTTGAGGCTTCGTACTGCTGTGAGGACTTCTGAGAACCTGGGCGGCTCATCAAGCTCATGCACAGGTGGGAGCATTGGGAGGCGCTGCAGGACAGTGGGGTCAGTCGGATTATTTTGATTGAGGAGGGTGTTAAAATGTTCAGCCCAACACTCATCCAATTACTTGTTTGTCCTTGTGCAGTATTGTGCCGTCTGCAGACCTGATGGGGGTGATTCTGTGTTTTTGGGGTCCATATAGTGATTTTATTGCATCGTAGAAAGCTTGAGAGTTGTTGGTGTCCGCATAGCCTTGGATTTCATGGGCTTTCCTAAGCCACCAGTCATTCTCCATTATGCGAAGCCGCTATTCTGTCCGCCTCTGTCTGTTGAGCCTCCCTCTCGCGTGTCCCCAACCCCGCCTTGTCTTGAGGAGACAAAATGCTCACAGAAGACAACCCACAGAGCAATGGAGGCAGCAGTCTTAGTTGATGGCTGACTGCACTCGCCATGTCGAGGAGTATCATTGGCTTAAATGTAGTTTTTGCAGCGGATCTAGTGATGCCACTCATCTAGTCCCTCCATACCTGATAGACTTCCGCTGTTGGTCCACGGCTACTTATTCGACTGGGGACCACCGCACGGAGCCCCCACCTTATTTCGTAGCTTACCTTCATATCTGAAGGATTGTCCATTATCCGCCACCTATGGACGTGGTTGGTAGCAGTCAGCTCTGCCCCAACCCACACACACACACCTGAACACAGGACCAGCTCAAACACACACAGGTAACACACACACACACGAACACAGGACCAGCTCACACACACGGGTAACACACTCACACACCTGAACACAGGACCAGCTCAAACACACACAGGTAACACACACACACACCGGAAGCAGAAGCGCTGAGTTTGAGCCTGTGTGTGTTGTGTCACAGAGCCAGTGAAGGACATCAGAGTGAGCCGAGTTCACTTCGAAGACGCCTTCAAGAAGGTGCGGCCGTCCGTGTCCAAGAAGGTGAGCGACGAGAACCAGACCAGACTCATGTTTACACCAATAACACTCTACACACTCTCACTCACGACTGCACATTTAGTCAAAGTGACGAGTGAAATGAGCTCTCAGACTGTGATTGGCCAGACTGGGCTTTGATTCAATTGTATAAAAATTGCATTAGCTACAAAATCCAACAAAACGTTGGTGTAGTTAGTGTGTGTTTAGCGCTTCGCTAGCGGTTTACATATAAATGTGCAAATTTAACTTGTGGCCAAAATTGGAATATCGCTTAAAACATTTGCGAATAAAGCAGCGTTTCCATCCCATGTGTTCAAGAGAACAAAATCATCACTTCCTATGAAATTGGCGCACAATATCAGTAATAAAACTGTACGTTTCTGCAGTCGGCTGTTTTCCCTCCATCATAACATCACACATTTCCCGTGTGTGTCGAGCGCCATCATAAACGAGTGTGTGTCGAGCGTCAGACGAAACACAGTAAACGCTGTCGTATTCTCTTGCGTTCGGATGCTGGTGTTCGGGAACACACTCGTGTGTGTGTGAGACGCTTCTGGAGGGAATTAGAATAGAATAGAATAGAAAAACTTTATTAATCCCCAAGGGGAAATTGCAGAAATTATTACACCCAATAATTCTGATCACACACTTCGACTCCGGCGTTTCAGAAACACCAAACCAACATTAGAGACGCTGCGACGCCATTGGTCCACTGGTTACTCCAGTTATCCAATCACAGCTGACGCTGAGGGAAAGTCACGAGTTTATTGTTGCGCATCGGATTTATGTGCATCTTGGCGTTTTAAAAATAGGTGGATGGAAACATCGCTTCTCACTTTATTTCTTTGAAATTTCTTTATTATAGAGTTTAACTATCACCATTTAACTGTGATCAGTGTGGTAAAGAGTTTATTTTGTCATCACATCTAAAATCACACTTGAAAGTTCTACTTGACAAAATAAACTCTTTACCACACTGATCACAGTTAAATGGTTTTTCTCTAGAATGAATGCGCAGATGTTGTCTCAAACCTGTTGAATCTTTGAGACTCTTCTCACACTCAGTACAGTCGTACGGCTTCTCTCCAGTATGAACTCGCTCGTGTGATTTCAGAGATCCAGACTGAGTGAAACTCTTGTCACAATATGAGCACTTGTAAGGTTTTTCTCCAGTATGAATTGTTTGGTGCAGTATTATAGAGAAATTTCTTTATTATATAGAGTTTCACAGCAGCTTTACAGTGATAACAGGAGATTACAGTAACAGAGATTGTTTAGGCTTTACAGCAGCTCTAGAATAAAGTTATTGTCCAGATAAAGTTAGTTTTGATTGATTCACTTCCGTTGCAGAGATCATTAGTGATTAACTCAGGGACCGCTAACACGACACACACCGCTACAACAGAAAACTCAGTTCATTCACACAACAGTGTTTGCAGCTTGAGAACGTAAACCTTGAAACGGGTTCCAATGTGCAAGCGGTGACATTTTGTTTAAAACCGTGTAAAGTTCAAAAACATGAATCTGAAAACGCCGACGGCGTCCTCCTTACGTGTTTAGTCTATAGGTATGCGCGTATGAATATATTTGTGCCCAGGCGTGTAGTCTTCACTTCTTTATATTAAGTGAGCCTTTGGTTCAGAATGAACAGAATGCATATCCATAAACGCAGCTCTTGCACTCATGTTGGCTGCTGTAATCGTGAATATGAATCTCCATAAACGCAGCTCTTGCACTCATGTTGGCTGCTGTAATCGTGGTTATTGTTTCCTCCTCGCAGGAGCAGTTAATGTATGAGAAGCTGAAGGACACTCTCACGAGATGACGAGCGCTGATGAACAGTCCAACAGGAAGACGACGCTGATAAACTCACACAGCGACTGGAGATTCAGCTCACGGAAGACTAACATCTTTACACAATCAAAGATTTAATGAAATTATATATGCAATAAACTGTATATATGAAGGGAAGGTTCATAAAGTGTTTTAACAGGAACATTACATGAGATGATGATTGCTGGATTAATACTGTTACAGATTTTCTTTTCTTTTTCTTTTTTCAAGTTTTACAACTTGTATAAATTGTTCATTTTAATATTTTTGTTGTTGTTGATTTTCCACAATAGATTGAACTTTAGCTTTATAGTTTTTTGGCTGTTAATTTTGGACATGAATCTTACACACACTCAACAGAAAGTACATTAGTCTCTAGTTCGACACACTTGATGAGGCAGAGAAAGATCTTGTGTGTGTATAAATGGTTTGACACTCAAATAAACTTGTATTTCTCATCTTTAAAAAAAAAAACTTTTAATCTAAAAGCTTGTTCTTGAAATTGCTTTTGAAACAAACAGACATTATTAAGCACAACCTATTGGGGCTTTATTTTCATTTTATGTCAACATCAACATTTAATGTTGGTGTCTAAGAGGTTGAAGTCATTAACGTTAAGTTTTTATGAAAACTCTTGCTACTTCATGCTTCAGTACAAAACAGTGCTGAACTTTGCTCCCAAAAAAACAATTCTTGAATGTTATAATTGAGATTTTATGTCTAAATATAAATCTGAAAGCAAACCATGTGAAAAGAACTATATTAGGGAGTGGCAAAGGAGCTGATGGCTTGAATAATAAAGCAATCACTGTGGTAGTGCTCTGGGTGAAACCAGTATCACTTCTGGACTGCCAACACCAAACATCACGTGTGTAAAAAAAGCTAAGTTTAGTAGACTAAACGAGAACCATGAATTGTAGGATTATTTGTCTTGGAATAATTCAATTTAAATGAAAATAATTTAAGTTAAGCTAAGACCGTTCATTGAAGTTAAATGAACACTATTGATTCTCGTTAGTTGTACATGGTTGATTTTATTGGGTTTTACTTGTTTTAATCACATGAAACCACTGTCCATGATTAAATCGTGTTCAGCCAAAGAGCTTTTTTTTTTTTAAATTCAATTGTTCACTTTCGAGAACGTTCACTTCGTATTGCGTAGTTATACGCAGTGGAAAAAATCCTTTTCTCTAGAATATTGAAGCCTTTATTTTAAAACGCAGTGCAGCTGCACAGTGTAGGCTGACCTATAGCGAAGCAGCGAGGACGCGCAAACCTATCAGGGCGCTTCCCGCCTCGCGCATGTCGAAGCGCGCCAGAATGGGTGTGGCTACTGACTATATAAGCAGCCCATTTCGCCATAGGAATAAGATTTAATCTTCACCGACTGAGTACGTCTTCGCTGACTCTCCTTCACCTCGCCATCGACTTGCCCAGCAGCGGAACGAGCGACTCTGCCTTGCAGCTCAGCGGACGGCGACCTTCCTGCTTTTCAGCAACTCGGCGCCGCTCTCCTGATTCGCTGTTTCCCTTTGGCCATCCAGCGAACGCATATCCTTTCAAAAAGCCTTCAGGTGCTCGCTGCTGCAATTTTCAAGTGACGTTACTTCAAATGTCACGCGATAACTGTGCGGCATGCAGGGCCTCCCTGCATCCCTCAGATGGCCACGAAGAGTGCGCTCCCTTCCTGGGCCTCTGACACGCAGAGGCGGCACTCAAGCAAGGCGGCTGCTCTCACTGCGAGAGCATGTCACTTGCCTCTCTGCGCTCGCAGCTAGCTCTCCTTACGTTGGGAGAGCCACACCGCCCCTTGCACCCTCCCATTTCCAGCCCTCCTCGAGCCGTGGAGGAAGAAACGGTGGGGTTAGAGGATACCTGAGCAAATAGAGTTGAGCGAGCCCACGCCAGCCCGTCCCCGCATGCCTCACTCTCTCCAGAGAGAGATTCCTCACCCGTCCAGTTCACAAAGACGGACCAGCGCCCCTCCCTCGAAGCGGCTGGCCTCGTCTCCTTTGGCGGGTCAGAAGAGGAACACGACATTGGCTGCGTGAGAGAGCGAGGATTGGCCGGGCTTAAACCTGTACACCATGGCCAAACACCTGCTTTTATGAGCTCATGCCAATCTGCGCTCGCTGAGAGCAGCGCATGTGAACCAGGGTGCAGATATGCTATCACGAGACAATGTTCCCCCAGAGGAATGGCCTCTCCACCCTCAGACGGTTCAACTGATCTGGAGTGTCTTCAGCAGGGCAGAGGTAGACCTCTTCGCCTCAAAAGTCAACTCTCACTGCCCAACATTCTTCTCGAAGGACAGGGATGCGCTGGTTTTGATGCTCCCTCAGGTCATCGAACGAATCAGGGAGCACAAGTGTGCGGTCCTACTGATAGCCCCTCTCTGGAGGACCCAGGTATGGCTCCCCGAGTTAGCACAGCTGTTAGAGACAGCCCCGTGGCCTATATCGCTGAGGAGGGACCTCGTCGCGCAGGCGAACAGAACAATCTGGCACTCTCGTCCCGAATTGTGGGCCCTCCATGTTTGGCCCCTCAACGGGTACCCGAGAACCTCCCGGGAAAAAGTTTTAAGCACCATCACAGAGGCTAGAGCTCTGTCAACAAGACGCCTATACGCCCTTAAATGGTCAGTGTTCGCCAGCTAGTGTACAGCTCGGCATCTTGACGCGTTCTTGATGCGTGGCGGCCATAGCAGCCTTACATGCTCCTGTGGCCTGCCAGTCCTTAGGAGGAACGACCTGATCGTGCGCTTCCTTAAAGGGGCCAGAAGGCTTAACCCCCCTCGACCCCCCTCTATACCTGCCTGGGACCTATCCATGGTCGTCAGGGCACTTAAGGGATCCCCCTTCGAGCCGCTTCAGTTGGCTGACTTAAAGCCTCTCTCGCTTAAGACCGCACTTCTGCTAGCATTAGCATCAGTCAAGCGAGTGGGTGACTTGCAAGCGCTCTCTATAAACGCTTCCTGTCTCGAACTCGGGCCTAACGACTCCAAGGTTGTCCTCAGACCAAGACATGGTTATGTACCCAAGGTGCTCTCGACTCCGTTCAGAGCCCAGGTCATTTCGCTATCGGCGTTACCCTAACTGGAAGACGATGGAGACTTGAGTCTACTCTGCCCTGTTAGGGCTCTCAGAATTTATCTAGAGCGCTCTGCCTCGTTCAGACAGTCAGAACAGCTCTTGCTTCGGCGGCCATACCAAAGGGCTTCCTGTCACGAAACATAGATTATCAAGATGGATAGTGGACGCTATCTCTCTAGCTTAGGCCTCTATGGGCCTGCCATGTCCCATAGGCGTCAGAGCTCATTCCACTAGGGGCATGGCTTCTTCATCGGCTTGGTCCAGTGGTGTACCAATCAAATACATTTGTGCGGCGGCCGGCTGGTCTTCGCTCTCCACATTTGTGAGATTTTATAACTTGGAGGTGCCAGCACTGCAGGCACGAGTGCTTTCTATTTAAGACGTTTTGGCTCCCGAGGGGCTCAAACCTCTGGTATCCCATTCGTGGGGCCCGACTCTGTCTGGTCCCCGTTGGACCTGGACTTTAGTTCTACTATGAGCCTCGGGCAACGCAGCCCCAGGCAGTGGTTCAGAGCGAAGTCTTCAGCTAATAGCACAGTTGTTTTAAAAATGGGTTCCCAATGCGTATAGCTACACAATACGAAGTGAACGTTCTCCAAAGGAAACGTAACCTTGGCACGTCCTCGCTGCTTCGCTATAGGTTTGTGCAGTTAGACAGCCTGCCCTGTGCTCGCTGCGCTGCGTTTTAAAATAAAGGCTTCAAAATTCCCGAGAAAAGGAGTTTCCCCACGTATACTGTAGCTACGCAATACTCATTCCCTACTCTCAGGGAACCGAGGTTACGTTAGTAAACAATATTTGTTGCGTTTGTATGTTTCAATATTTGCTTTCTGTGATGGGATAATTTCTTTCTACAAGGAAGTGAAACTCCTCATGCATACACTATAAACACACACTATGAAACAGAGATGAAGATTCTTGATCACTGGTCATTTATTTTGGACCAAAAAAAACCAAAGCAAGCATTTTTTTACTTTTAGTTTTATTTGAGACAATCCAGGTCATGGAAGGGTAGATTTTCCAGTGATCATCATTTGTTCTGCTCTAAAGAGTGAAAACAAAAATCAGAAAAGATGTTGCAAGGCTTTTCTACTGTAACAAACGCCTGCATCTTTAGTACGCACTCTCGTACTTGATGCTTTTCATGGCAGAAAAACAGGTGCAGCGATCTCCGAATATGATGTTTATGTTTCTGAAGAATAAATATATTGGTGCATAGTTAAAGCTGCAGTCTGTAGTTTTTTCCTCTTTGTCGCCATCTCTGTTCGAAATCTGCAATTGAAGTTATTAGCAGAATGATCAGCTTTACGTGGGTTGTGCCTCGGCACGGCACAGCGCGGATGAACACAATGTTTTGAGGAGAGTGTGCAGCTGTCAGTCGCCGCCGGTGTGGAAACTGTCAGTCAGCTTTATTTATATAGCGCTTTTTAACAATATAAATTGATTCAAAGCACCTTTACAGAGATAACAGGAACATTTTCCAGGAGAAAATAGCGCCACAGTCCAGCTTAAGTAAGTTCAGTGATGATTCGTTTTTGTTGTAAAAAAGATATTAATTTAGTTCATTTATATATATATACAGCCGCTCTGGAGAAAACCGTGATGTCATCGTCCAGCTCAGTTCAGATCTCATATAATGGTGTCAATGCAGGCAGATCAATAATATTGTTGAATATTAAAGGGGCACTTGGCAACTCTAGTCATTTCTTCGCTGATTTTCACTTTTGTTGTCGCTTGTTTTCTCATCGAGCTCCCCCTACCCCTAAGAAACTCACTTGCTTTCTATCGCTGCTCATGTGCATTTGTTATTATCGGAGCCGGCCAACTTTATCGTGTGGAGCTGTCTACAGAGTGGGTAATACATCATACACAGTATCATAGAATTATGTCGAATTGCCATAAAGCAGTTCGTGTTTCTCACTCGTTCTCGCTTCTCACGAGACTTCTATTTCCAACTTACCGGGACGTTAGTCCACATGTTGCAAGGTTGGTTTTCCGCCTGGGAACGCTGGGGGGAGCGGGGAAAGCCACCATTCTCTCCGGAACAGGTTATTGAACCATTCAAATGATTTCTAAACGGTTTTATTAAGTTGAAATAGTTGCCAAGTGCCCCTTTAAATGTCCCCAACTAAGCAAGCAATTTTTTTTTTTTTTTATCAAATGAATGTAGCCTTGGGGAGCATAAGAGACTTCTTTTAAAAACGTTAAAAATCGTATCGATCCAAAACTTTTGTCTGGAAGTGTTTATCAAGTGTCATATTTTATTTCCGTATAAAATCCAATCCTTTACCTCAGGACAATCTAACCCAACCTTACATTTATGGAAAAGTCCATTTTTGGACCTAAGAAGATTATTACAGTCAGTTCTTGATAACTCGCCCCGGCCTGACAGTATGATACCACATCATGTGTTTGCATTTAATTTGCCTTGAGTAAACACATATGATGACAATATATATCGAAACCTGCTCCCAAATCATGTTACTATCATTTGAGATGTGTGAAATGATAGTAGCCATCAAATAGTTTCTGTGTGTTTAGGCAAAAGTAACCGCAGTCTTGCAGCAACTCTAGAACTCAGCGACTGTAGAAACTGCAGACTGGTTTTTTTTTTTGCTTCTTGAAGATATTTAAAAAATATATATTTATATAATTAGTGAGTTACAAGAATGTTCTGGTAACACTTTATAATAATATTCATTAGTTATCATTAGTTAATGTATTAACTAACAATGAAAAATACATTTGTTACAGTATTTATTAATCTTTATTTGTTCCAAAATGTAGGCCTATTTGATCCAAATAATTAGTAGTTCCTTTAGAAAGATGTAGTAACACTTGATTCATTACTAATGGGTTACCATTAATTTATATTATGTATTATTAATATTAATTATGAACCTGTATATAGTAGATCTCAGTGAGGTATGAAAAATAGCAGTTATTAATTATCTAATAGTGAACTTCCACATTTATCTGAGCGCTATTACTTACTAACTCATTAATCAGAGTTTCTTGTTAGTTAATAGCAGTTACTAGAGTGTTAATAGTGCGTTACTCATTTGTTCCTGTGTTATTCATTAATGAAGGAACAGTGTTATAAAGTGTTACAGATCTGGAACATATTTTATAAACATTAAGCAACTTTTTGGGTTGTGCTTGTTTTGTTTGAACATTATTTGAATTTCAGGAAAAAGGCATTGGAAAATTACATATTTACACAGGATTAAAATCAGCAAGGGAAACTACACACATGTGATTCCTTTCCTTATCCTCAAACTATATAAAGGACAACATTACTCCTCTCTGCAAACTCTCTTCTTCTCTTCAGAGATTCACTCATCATTCATCATGAAGCATCTCGTTTTTCTTCTGTTACCTCTCTTCACTTTGAGTGAAGTTGTAGATGATTTTAGTAAATGCAATCAGTTCTTCTTTAACTTCAAACCTCCTATATTCACACCAGCGAATGGCAATAAAGTCCAGCACATCTGCCAGTGTCTCTGGAACGACAAAAAAGAGCCAATCTTTCTTTACGCAACCTTGTACAGCACGACCTGGAAGATCCCCGTCTACTCTGCCTACGTGTTTGGCAGCCCCAATATCGGGAGATGTGACGCTTGGTACATTGAACCACAGGTAAAAAATGTTTTACTTCATACAATGAGGGTAAAATTAAAGGTGAAGTTTGCAATTTTTGTAACATTAAAATACATATTCTAGCTCAATGTGCAGAGACAGCTATAAACAAGCAATTGAAGAGCACTGTGACAAAGCTGCTGTTGTTTAAATGTCCTCGGGTGTGTTTCCCGTACAACAGCGGCGTAACTCGCTGTTAAAATACTACAGTCTGATGCATCGGTGAAGATATCAACTAGTTAGCATGACCAGTGTTGGGGAAAGTTACTGTGAAAAGTATGCATAACAATATTGTGCTACTCCCTTAAAAAGTAACTAATTGCGCTACTCAGTTACTTTTTACGAAAAGTAATCCGTTATGTTACTTTTGTGTTAGTCACCTGGGCTTGGCTTGTTGTTGTTTTTTTTATAACAAAATAGTTTTATTTTTGTGCACATGTAAAGGCCCTTTCACACCAAAATATAAATAATAAGGCTGAAGGAAATGCAAATTCACGCGTGTGCAGTAGAGTGCAATAAATGCATAAAAGTATTGGTTTATTAAACATATTTAATTATTGGAGGTTTGCGTAGTATTCTGATTTTGCATTTGCATCCGGGTGGAGTGGGCCTTCACACCAAGGGGGCACGGTCGACCTTGCTGCTGGTATGCCAAGCAATGGCGTCCACTATCCAGTGAGACAGCCTCTGCTTGGAGAGAGCCTTTCCCTTCAGCTTCACACCATAACAGACAAAGAGCTGGTCAGAGGTCCTGAAACACTGCGTTCTGTCTACATAAGCACGGAGAGCGCGTACTGGACAGAGCAGTGCCAAGGCTGGGTCTGCCTCCTCCAGGGGCAGCGCTTGCAGGTTCACCACCTGGTCCGGGAAGGGAGTGGTGGGAATCTTGGGCACATATCCAAGCCGGGAACTCAGGATCACGTGAGAATATGCCGGCCCGAATTCCAGACACGCTTCGTCAACAGAAAATGTGTGCAGGTCCCCTACCCTCTTAATGGAGGCTGTGATGCAGTAGACCTTTTGCAGGCCCAACTGGGTCACCTCGAGTCTACTGCGGACGTGTTACAGTCCAAAAAAAAAAAAATGATGGCTCCAAAAGTCCAATAATCCAGCATTGAATATATATATATATATATATATATATATATATATATATATATATATAGATAGATAGATAGATAGATAGATAGATAGATAGATATAAAAGTGTACACTCCCGTAAAACAAAGTAACAAAACAACAAAAATAAAACAACAAAATAAATCAAAGTGAATAAACTAGACGAATATGTACACAAACTCACGTATCCACAATATACAAAATTATTATACCTCACGACTATGCAGTAGTACGTTGCTCGACTTGGTAAAACAAGTCCTGTTCTGGAGTCTGGCTGCTGCTTTTAAAGGCCAGACTCCACCCCTTTTTCCGGGCACCACCATTAATAGGTACGCGTCACAAGGTGATATCTTCCACATTCAGATTGGCATATATCTCCACCTTATAACAAAACCAACTTTATTCAAACTAATTTCAATAAACATAATAACATAATAAACAAGACAACCATAACTCAAATTACGGTTTGTCTTTTATTCTAAAACTTGGGTACCCCACATTTAGACATCACATGGTTTCACCGGGTTCCGGTCCACTGCGCCGGCGCGGCATAGTCTGATGACATCATAACCGCTCGCCCTACCTGAGCTCGAGTTTGTTGGCGCAGCTCCCAGCTACCCGGTTACGCTGAAATGTAACACACAATTTAATACATAAAACAAAAAAATAATGAGAATGCATGATATGTCCAAAAGAAATAACAGAAGGGAAGTATGGAATGTGGATGAATGACCAAGTGCTATCGGAATCGCGTGTGCACCCGCTTCCCCAATAGCGGCATCAACGGGTGAGGAAAGTGTGTGGGGTTGTTGCGTGTATGTGTGTGATTATGTGTGCCAGTGCTGCCGCTTGTAGCGGTGAAGGTCACTTCTTCACATTGGATGGGATGTGCAATGCAACCAGGAGCGCTGTCTTAACAGACAGGAACTTAAGCTTCACTGATTGCAGAGGCTCAAGGGGAGTACTCTGCAGGGCTGTTAAAACCACTGAGAGGTCTCGAGAGGGAACGAGAGGAGGACGAGGAGGATTCAGTCTCCTTGCTCCTCTCAGGAACCTGACGATCAGGTTGTGCTTTCCCACGGACTTACCCTGGACTGCGTCGTGATGTGCGGTGATAGCGGCAACATACACCTTCAGGGTGGAGGGAGACAGCCTTCGCTCCAACCCTTCTTGCAGGAAGGAAAGCACAACACTGATCGAGCACTTTCTGGGGTCTTCTCGGTGAGAAGAGCACCAGTTTTACGAAGAGGTTCCATTTCAACACGTAGGCATGTCTCGTGGACGATGCTCTAGTGGAAGTGATGGTAGCCACCACCACTGGTGGTAGGGTACTCGAACCTGCCTCGTCCCATCCAGGAGCCACACGTGGAGGTTTGGGATGAGGAAAGATCGGGATGAGGGTACCATAGGGTGCCCCGTCTCTGAGAAGGGGTCCTTCCTCAAAGGAATTGGCCAGGGAGGTGCTGTTGCGAGGAGTACAAGTTCGGAGAACCAGGTCCGGCTGGGCCAGTGAGGCGCAACCAATATGACCTGCTCCTCGTCCTCCTTGACCTTGCACAGGGTCTGTGCAAGAAGGCTCACTGGGGGAAACACATACTTGCGGAGGCCCCGCGGTCAGCTGTGCGCCAGTGCATCCGTGCCGAGCGTGCCCTCGGTCAGGGAGTAAAACAGGTTGCAATGGGTCGAGTCGTGGGAGGCAAACAGGTCTACCTGTGCATCCCCGAACTGATCCCAAATCAGCTGAGCCGACTGGGGATGGAGTCTCCAGGGATGGAGAGCTCGTGGGCTTCTGACTCCATAGGAGGAGGTGGCGGGCGAGTTGCGACATACGGCGGGAGAGTAGACCACCTTGTCGGTTGATGTACGCTACTGTCTGTCAGTATTGTCTGAACGGACTAGTACGTGCTGGTTCTAAAGCAACGCATGGAAGCGGTGCAGAGCGAGACGTACTGCCAGCAACTCTAGGCAATTGACATGCCATAGGCGCTGGGGTCGTGTCCAGGAGCCCGTGGCAGCATGTCCATTGCACATGGCATGTGGAGGAGGCACCTGTTGAGACAACAACATGCCTGGAAACTCGTTCTAAGGGCACTCCGACTCGTAGAAAGCTGAGGTTCGTCCACGGGGTGAAGGTCTGACGGCAGGTCGGAGTAACTGGTGCTCGGAGCGTGCCTTGTTGTCATGCCCACCTCGAGACTCGATCGCGAAGCCAAAGCTGAAGCGGTCTCATATGAAGCAATCCGAGTGGCGTTGCTGCGGCTGCCGTATACCCCAGGAGCCTCTGAAATAACTCCAGTGGAACCGCACTCTTGCCCTCGAACTGTCTAAGCCAAGTCAGCAGTGACTGCGCGCGCTCACTCGTAAGCTGCGCGCACATCGAGTCGATTTCCATACCGAGAAAAGAGATCCTCTGCACGGGGCAAAGTTTACTCTTCTCCCAGTTGACCCGAAGGCCCAGACGAGCTCGGTGCCGGAGCACTAGGTTACTGTGCTCGCATTTTTAAATTAACTTTTTTATATATTTAAAATTAAAGATATAGATTGTACTGAATGTCCTGATTATTTTGCTCAAGATAATGATTTATTTATTATTATCTATTTATTATGCTAAGGATTTATTTATTATTAACTATTTATGATGCTATTATTAATATCTATTTATTAAGTCCACATGTCACACAAACAAGAAACTCTGCTTCTTACCACAGGTCGAGAGCTGTCAAGACAGAAAATTGGGTTACACTTTATTTTAAGGTGTCATTGTTACAATGTACTTACACATTTAAGTACTGAGTAATATTAATTAACTACATGTACTTACTATAGGGTTAGGGTAGGATTAGGGTTTGGTTGAGGGTTAGTTGCATGTAATTATGCATAATTTACTGTTATTACTAGGGTTAGGGTTAGGGTTAGGGTGGGTTAGGGTGCATGTAAGAACACTGTAAAATAAAGTGTTAACAAATAAAATGTTACCGAAAATTTCACATTTGACTTTATTTGAAATAACAACAAACTGAGGTTTTTTTTTTTCTCATTTCCTTTAGCTGGATGGAAAGACAAAGCCTAATTGTATGCAGCCTAAAGGTTATGTTAGGACAATTGGCACTAATCAGGCTCTGAAATCCGACTATGAGGACTCTGGCTTCGACAAAGGTCACCTTTATCCCGTTCTCCACACCAACAATCATCTGTCTATGCTGGCCACCTCCACACTGACCAACGCCGCTCCACAGGACCCGGATTTCAATCAGGGATCCTGGCTGCAACACGAGAGAGCCGTAATTAAAGACCTGCAGTCCTGTGATAAGGCTTATGTAGTGACTGGTGTAGTTCCTGACCTAGACCATGAAAAAATCTATGATAAAATCACTGTGTCCAAGTATTACTGGAGAGCCACCTACTGTCAAAAGGGGAATCAGTTAGATGTGCTGAAGGGCTACTATGGGCCGGACAACAACGGCAAAGTGCAGCAAATAACAATAGAAGAACTTGAGGAATGGCTCAAAAAACTCAAAGAACCCATTACAATTAAAATTTTCCCAACAAGAAAAAGACAGAGAGAATAAAGGATTAGATCATAGCTGGGTCAACATTTTGGTGTCCACATCAAATTAAATTTACAAAAGTTATTTTATACACACACACACACACACACACACACAAGACATATTAAATGCAAGTAAAGCGTCTACTTTAATGTTTCAAATAACTTTTGTGAAAATAAAATGTCAAAAAATGATAAAAATAATTTTCCAAAGTGTAAAATTGTCATTCAGCGTAATGTTCTGGACTTTGATTTTACCCTTACATCTTTAAATAAACATAAAATACCAAGTTAAAAATATATATTTGTTTTTCTTGGCATATTCAAATAAGTGTTGGCTGTGTTATATTAAAAGGACTATGTTTTTTTGTTTTTGTTTTAAAGGATTGAAATAACCAGGGGAATTTTGCCCCGAAAATGCAGTTTGCATTTCATTCAGTGTAACAGGATCAAGAAGCCATTTTGAAATCAAATAAACATGGATAGTCATTAAACAGCCTGTGACATCATCAAAGGGCGTCCTGAAGAGCGTGTGGTGCTGCAGAAAAATCAGTGTATTGCATTCTATCATGATAGCGCGACTTCTATGAGTCTATCCGTGCTGCACACCCCTAATTAATGCTCCTAACCTTGAAAGATTGCAACAATGTAACTGTTAACTGTAACAATATCCTGGGTAACCAGGATCACCAGTAGAATCTGCATTTGAAAGCCTGGTCAGTCACTACTACTGCTAGTTATTTATGTGGCTAGTTATTTTTGCCTACTTGCACTCTGCTTTATGAAAAAGCTTCGTATGTCCCATTTCTTCTTCTTGGGTGACATAGCTGATCTACAAAGTACAAAAAGGGGCAAAAAAACCGGAATATTAAAATGTTTTACTCTGGCCTTTGTATATGGCAGGCAGAGAGACAGCCCTGGTAACTTACCGTCGGCGTCGTCACGCGCGCACACACACACCACCCGCTCGCTGCCAGTGAGTGCAAGCACAAAGTAGTCCCGGCCCGCGTGTGTAGCCTGCCTGTCAGATACCCCGCCGCGAATCAAATTACGGCGTATCTTGTACTGGCCGTTGGAATCGATCCAAATAGCAGCGCAAAGATCAAAATAGCAGTTCAAAGGAGCTTGCTAAATATTGGTGGGGACAAATTTGTCATCTCAAAATATTGATTGGGACTAGTACCTAGCGTCCCCCCCTAAACCTACGCCCTTGGAGCAAGTTCTTTAACATTATCTCTAAAAAATTCACCGGGAAAACCATCCGGACGCGGAGCTTTCCCCGTGGGCAATGCTCTGATCACCTCCATCACTTCCTCCAAAGTTATATCTGAATCCAGAAGTTGCTTCTGGTCATTTGAAAGCCTAGGGAGATCTAGCGGTTCCAGGAATCTACTAATATCCTCATCAGTTGATGACGAGGCTGATTTGTAAAGATCTATGTAGAATTCTTTAAATGTTCTATTTATATCTGCAGCGGCAGTACATATATCTCCCCTGGAAGACCTAACAGATGGAATAATGGAGGAGAACTCCTTGTGCTTAATATAATTAGCTAGAAGTTTCCCTGCCTTATCTCCTGACTCAAAATACGTCTGTCTTGTCCTGAATAACAAAAATTCAATCTTTTGAGACAAAATTATGTTGTATTTATATTTTAATTGGGTTAGTTCTCTAAGACCACTAGATGTCACCTGGCGTTTCATCTTTGTTTCAATCCTCTTAATGCTATTGTCCAACTCTAATAGTTTTTCTGCTTTAAGTTTTTTAGAGTGTGCGGCAAATTGAATGATACATCCCCTAATAACTGCCTTAAGAGCATCCCATGCCACTCCCACTGAGGATACTGATGACCAATTAGTTTCTATGTAAACATTAATTTCTGTTTTTAGCATTTGTTGGAATACTGGGTTTTGTAAGAGAGATGTATTAAGACGCCATCTAGGCGATTTTTTCCTCTCTATAGAAGGTTTCAACTCTAAACATACCCAGGCATGATCCGAGATGATGATATTCCCAATTTTACATGTAATGACAGAAGGGATAAGTGATTTTGATAAAAGGAAAAAGTCAATTCTAGAGAAAATGTTATGTGCATTCGAAAAAAAGGTATAGTCCCTCCCATTTGGATTCAGGTGTCTCCAAATGTCTATGAGGCCGAGAGATTGACACATCCTATGTACTATCAATTTTGCTTTAGGTGTGTTATATACTTTTGAGCAGCTATGATCTAGGAGTGGATCCATTAACAAATTAAAATCCCCGCCCAGCACAATCTCATATTTCACAGCAGATCGTAACTTCACTTCCAAATCTATAAAAAAATTCTGATCGTCAAGATTGGGCGCATAGATATTGGCCATTACTAAATGTTGCCCCTGTATTTCAGCCCAGACCATAATAACTCTTCCAAATGTATCTTTCATTTGTTTAACACATTTAAATTGCAATTGCTTTTTTATTAATATTATAACTCCCCTACTGTTACTTGACCCTTCGCTGCAAAACACATATCCGCCAAATGCCCTGCCTAGTTTTTCAGCTTCCTGCATACCAAGGTGAGTCTCTTGGAGAAATACTATATCCGATGTATTGCGCCTAAGAGATGATACCACCTTCCTCCTTTTAATAGGGTGCCCCAACCCATTCACATTCCACGTGGAGAAAGATAATTTACCTAGGTCAAGGAGTGACATATTTAAAATGTACAATCAGGTGTGTCCCGTAACACAAAGTCGCTGTCGGCTGACCGTAGGAATCTTGCCAAAACCGGCCGGGGTCTATCTGTCGAGTTGAGGCGCTGACCGGGAGATCTGTGTGCACGTTCAATTTCAAGCTGTCGGTCCGTCGAATCAATCAATTGCGGGATAAGTCCACCCAGAAAGCTCACCATGTCCTGGCCTTCTTTCCCTTCCGGGATCCCGACGATACGAATATTATTGCGTCTGTTCCGGTTCTCCATGTCTTCCATTTTGTCCCATATCTGCTCCAGCTCGGCTTTGGTGGCAGGTGGATTCGCCTGTGATTCTTTCTCGGCCCCCTCTAAAAACTCCACCCGTTTTTCAACTTCATCCAGTCTTGTAATCAAAGAGGATAGTTTAGCCTCCACCGACGTGGTAGTTTTACGTATCTCCGCAATTCCTTCCATGTCACCTGAGATTTTTGTCAGAATTGTATAAATATTCGCAATGCCCTGGCTTCCCTCAGTAACGTTATAAACGTTGTCGTGATCCGCAACCAAGCCATCTTGGTCCTCCTGAGTGGCGTCGGGCGTGTGCGAACGCAGGTGCCTTTTAATATCCCCACAGGCCAAGGATTTCGGAATTTTAGACATCGTCTGCTTCCAGTATTACTTAAATGACCGAACAATTGGTGTTTTCACCGAATCAAAATAATTAACAGGATAATTGTAGCAAACTGAAGCGGAGCTCGCTGCTAAGCTGCCTCCTCTCGCATCGCGTCACGTGACACCCCCTTTAGTTATCGTTCTTGGTGTGAGCGGGCCTTTAGCCAGATTTAGATATAACTTTAGCATGTGCAGGATGAGTAGAGGGACAACCACCGTACCCGAGCAGGGAGAAGCGCTGGGACCCGACCCGGCAAGCATTGCATCACGTAGAGGCAGTGAGTGTGTGTGACCCTTGCCCGGCTCCAGGGAACGAGAGAGGGATGGCTAGAGATCATGAGCGGCTGCAGGGAACGAGCGAGGGATGGCTAGAGATCATGAGCGGCTCCAGGGAACGAGCGAGGGATGGCTAGAGATCATGAGCAGGGAACAAGCGAGGGATGGCTAGAGATCATGAGCGGCTCCAGGGAACGAGCGAGGGATGGCTAGAAATCATGAGCGGCTCCAGGGAACGAGGGAGGGATGGCTAGAGATCATGAGCGGCTCCAGGGAACGAGCGAGGGATGGCTAGAGATCATGAGCGGCTCCAGGGAACGAGGGAGGGATGGCTAGAGATCATGAGCGGCTCCAGGGAATGAGCGAGGGATGGCTAGAGATCATGAGCGGCTCCAAGGAACGAGCGAGGGATGGCTAGAGATCATGAGCGGCTCCAGGGAACGAGCGAGGGATGGCTAGAGATCATGAGCGGCTCCAGGGAACGAGCGAGGGATGGCTAGAGATCATGAGCGGCTCCAGGGAACGAGCGAGGGATGGCTAGAGATCATGAGCGGCTCCAGGGAACGAGCGAGGGATGGCTAGAGATCATGAGCGGCTCCAGGGAACGAGCGAGGGATGGCTAGAGATCATGAGCGGCTCCAAGGAACGAGCGAGGGATGGCTAGAGATCATGAGCGGCTCCAGGGAACGACCGAGGGATGGCTAGAGATCATGAGCGGCTCCAAGGAACGAGCGAGGGATGGCTAGAGATCATGAGCGGCTCCAGGGAACGAGCGAGGGATGGCTAGAGATCATGAGCGGCTCCAGGGAATGAGCGAGGGATGGCTAGAGATCATGAGCGGCTCCAGGGAACGAGCGAGGGATGGCTAGAGATCATGAGGAAGCAGCGCGCCCTCTAATGCGATCTCCGGGCCTGTGGTGAGAGGGCGTGGGGGGTGTTGAGGCTGGGAGTGAGGCGGCGGAGCGCTTCTCGCTGCCGGACTGCAACCAGTATGACCCAGAGACTGAGGAAACTGCTCTTTTAGTGGAAAGTTGGGTACCGCTAGTTGTTGGGGGAAGGAGTGGTGCAAGTCAAGTCAAGTCTTTATTATTTGCCAGAACGACGCAAATCGCCTGGAATTCATTTTAGTGATTTGGCTCACTCAGGACAATACAAGACAGTATTGGACAAAAATAACAACACATCATCAGACATGACATATACAATAAAAATAAAACAAAATCAGAAGACAAATACTTGGGTTGCTACCAATAAGTAAGTACAATAAGTAATCAAATAAATAAATAAATCAGATAAAATGCTAATGCATTTAGTGATACTGAGGACATAATTGTGTAAGCAGAGCAGGTAACGATTGTTGGTGTGAATTGAGGGACCTCACAGCCTGTGGGTAAGTGCTATTTGAAAAACGGGTGGTTCTGGATCTGATACTTCTTAGCTTTCTACCTGATGGTAGAGGGATTAAAAGGGAATTAGCGGGGTGCAAAGAATCTTTAAGTATTTTCAGTCCAGTTTTAAGTAGACGGGTGTTGTAAATGTCACAGATCTTAGGGAGGTCCAACCCAATTATCCTTGACGCTGTCCTAACTACCCTATTCAGCACATATTTATTCTCTGCTGAGCAATTACCCCACCATACAGTGATGGAGAAAGTAAGTGTGCTCTCTATCACAGCTCTGTAGAAGTGGAGCATTCCCACCTTGGACACTTTAAATTTCTTGAGTTGTCTTAAAAAGAAGAGTCGCTGGTGAGCTTTTTTAACAATCTGACATTGGTGTCCCATTTAAGACTGGAGGATATGATGGTCCCAAGGAACCTAAAACTTTCCACCCACTCCACAGTTTTGTCCTTGATGGCCAGGGGCTGGAGCGACACACTATTTTTATTCCTAAAATCAACAACAATCTCCTTGGTTTTGGAGATGTTAAGGGAC